AAAATTATAAATCATAAATAAACAAAAAATGAGTTTTATTAGTTTTGATTTTATAAATAGTTGCTTAATTGATTTTTACTGATTGTTAACCGATTTTAAGCTGATTTATGCAGAATTTTGACCAATTTTTAACATAAATACTGATTGGTAGCCGATTTTCTATTTATTTAAAGTGCTGATTTTTTGGTAATGATCGGCAAAATTAGACTATATTTTGGCCAACTTTCAGCACTTTAAATGTGATGAATTGTATTATTTTGCCTAGTGATATATCAAATAACTACCAATCATTAATGTCAAATATTTTTTTGTGTGATACCTAAATTGGGTAACATTGACTATAACTAAAAATTCCGATTGTTTTGGCAATGATTGGTAAAAATTAGATTATATTTTGGCCAACATTTGGCATTTTAAAAAAGTGACAAAATGGATTATTTCGACTAATGTAAAGAGATAGAAGAAAAAAACTTAGATAACTTAGATGAAAGAGTTAAAATTATTGAAAATTAAATAATATCAATATATTAAAAATTATATATTTTTTAATTATATTTATATATATTAATAAAATTAAATTGTTGTTTTATCGAATAATCAACTTTTTTAAGGGGATGCTTATTTTCGAAGATGCTTATTTTTAGCTTTTACAGACATGATAGCAAAAATCACAGGGGTGTTTATTTTTAAGGATGCTTATTTTCACGATTTTACAGTATATGGTTAACTATAATAGAATATATTTGATAGATTCAAATTCGTAATGAGACAAATACGGAAGTATACTGAGAATTAAACACATTTGTTAGGAATTTAAGAGAACAAAATGTACTATTATTAGTCTTCTGATTTTAGGGATTTATCAATAGTGATGTATGTTATAAAACATTATACATGAAGTTTTCGACAAAATAGACAAGGATTATATAACAAATGAAATCCACAACTTTCTCACTGACTTTTTTAATGTTGATCATGATAAACAAGTATCAGTTCAAAGTATATCCATTATTGAAAATGATTTAGAATTACTGCAAAATACAAAAGAACTGCTTAAGTGAACATTAGGGTGATTGTAAATAAGAAGTTTTAGATGATTCCATTTACACATGATAAATCACTAATAAACTTTCTCGTATAGTGTAAAGGCCTTTTCTTTAGATGCGTTGAACCCTTTGAGAGATATTACAACTTTAGAAAGGTCTCATCTCAACCAATTTATATATCTGTTAATTGATAATGCTTTATGGATTTTTGCAAAGATTAATTATCTATTATAAGATTTATTATTCCTCTCTTTTTGATTTTCTTAATTAATTACATTTTTTTCACATAATTTCATTAGTGATGAAATTTTATTATAAGGAAAAACAAAAGTTATGTTGGATTTCTTAATAATGTTTCAAATTATCAAATTGTTTGTATGAAAGGGGAAAACCAGAGGCAAGAAAGAAAAAAATTGTTGAAGATGATGAGAAGAACATCAGAAGTATAATACAACTGTTTAATTATATAATTATATTAGAAGCAAAAGAATAAAGATAAATCTATACTGGCCTCGAATATTTGGTATAATATCTTATAAAACTGAACTCTTTCTTACATTTTTACAATGCTTGATTTTTGTGGTATATAATATTGGAAATTTATCTATGGTCTAAGACCAGATTAATTCAATTTTATGTGATCATCAGAAACATATTATTTGTTCGAAGTAGACCGTTTTAGTCTCTAAAAGGTTGGGTGGTTTTATGTATGAAGCTTTAATAAAATGAGTAGGAAGTATATGTATGAATTTATCATCTGTATTCCAAAATGTCACTGTTTGGTAATGATAAAATAATTATTATACAGTTATATATCCATTATACAAGAAAAAATTTGATTGCTCAATGCAAAAGAGAAGGATGGGAAGGTACTTAAAAGCAAAAATTACTAAAAAAATCACAGGTCTAACATAATTGATTTATACATGATTTACTTTAATACTAATAAATAATTCAGACTGAAAATGTATTGAAAATTATCTTTTTTAACAATAAAATAAGTATTGCTTACAAAATTCATATGCAATAGTAATCAAATATTCCTTGTTATATGATGATAACAATCAAATTTAGTAGAAGAAGTTTCTTTATGCTGATCACTTTGCTATCAATAAAGTTATAATTAGTTTTATATTAATGATATAGCACTACTAATAACTTTATTAAATATAATTAAGAATGCTTAATCTTTTTAAAATTCTACAATTAGTTTTAGTGAAATTTTAATAAGAGTTTAATATAGTTTTATCATGATAGTTTCATCATTTCAGTATTTTCTGCATAAGTAATTATAAGATTTTAATATAGTTTCGTCAAAAGTTTTGGTATTTTGGCATTTTGGCAAATAAAAAACCCTTTAATTTCTTCAGTAACCTTAAATATAATACATAAAGTAAAAATAAAACAAAAATAACAGAAAAGTACTAGTTATCCCTTATAATTATTATTCAAACCCATTGGAATTAATCTATCATCATTTTTTTTTCTTCAACAAACCTACTGAATGCATATTTAATGATTACTATTATTACTTAAAAAAGAAAAGTAAAAAATTAATGCTATTTAAAAATCTTAAAAAGAGTTACCATATTTATTTGTTAAATAAATCCAAGTTTTTCAATTATTAGAAATGTAAAGATCAGTAAAGTGAGTCAAAATTTTATTAGCATCTCATTTAATTTTGCTTTTTTAAGAAATTTCTGAAGAACTTTTCTTATCATTCATTAGTTTGTAATAGTATTTCAAATATGTATAAATATTTTCTTAAAGAAAATTGTAAACTATAAAATAATAATCATATTTATCCTTATTCTTAATAATTTTGTGAATCAATTATATTAATAAAGATAGAATAAATAGTTAATAATATTAATATATCTATCATTATATAAGATAAGTGTAGTGAAAATTTGATTAAAAAGATTAAGAAAGTCAATTAAAAAAAAGAAGTTATTGAATTGGTGTGATTATTAACAAACCTAACTAGATAATCTTTAATTTAAAAAATAATCTGATCATAATAGGATGAACATAATAAAATCTGTAAAAAAATTTCAGTAAAAGTATTATAACTAATACAATTCCAATTTTTATAAATATTTAAACATAATTATTTAAATCTAGAAAGAACTGAGAATTCATTAATAAAATTTTTAATGATGAATATTTTTAATTGTATAAAAGTAAGGAAAATGACCATAAAAAATAAATCTATAGATAAAACTTTTTAATAAGAAACTAATTAATAAATAAAATACTAATAAAAAATCTTAATTTCTGATTTTTTTTAAAAAAGGAAATCTTTAAATATATTTGCAAAAAAAAGCTTTTTAAGAATTAAAAGAACTGGATTTAATAATATTATTATTAATAGAATATAAGGTTTCTTTTATTAAAATCAAATAGTATCTATTTCTTTGAACATATCAGTAATTTATTAAAGATATTTATTTTACTGGTTAAAATAAATACAAAACAGCTAAAAATCAGATGGATGATTGATGGATGATTGATGACTGATTATGGTTGATTTACATTAATTCTAATTAACAAAATATATATATCATTAGAAATATCAATCAATCATCAATTGGCTATCTAAAATTAGCCTAAAAACTACCTAAATTTGGTTATTAATTGACCTAAATCAACCTAAAATCAGCCAAGTAAATCAGAACTAATAATAACTAATTTATATTTATTTAAATTTATTAAATTTATAATTTTATAATTTTATTATTTTTATATACATCTGGAATTTAAATGTAATATAATATTCTGTAAATTTATGATTTTTGTAATATTTCAGAATATTACATTGTAAAATTATGTGAGTTTACAAGTTTTTAAGATTTATGAAACATTATAGTAAAATCTTATATAAGGTTATTAGGTTACGGTATCATAAGATTATAAAATATTACAGTGAAATTTTATATTATGGAGAAATCTTACATAGATTATGAGCTTATAAAATTATGAAACATTATGATTAAATTCTATGTAAATTTACAGGATCATATGAAATTTTACGTAGTGTTATGATTTCCTATTATAGATTTAAAATTAGTAATATATATATTACTTTATTTAATATAAGCAATGAGTATATACTTTGTATCTTTTATTGATTTATATATATTTTTAGCTTTTTAAGAGATGTTAATTTTAAATATTTAATTGCATATGTATTAATAAATAGCATTAATTTCTGTGTTAAAAATTATAATTCAAAATTATATGCATATATTAACATTAAATATATTTAATTCAACATAAGTTTTAATTAAATTTCTGTATTAAAAATATATAATTTAGAATTATATAGATATATTAAGCGAAAAAAAATAAAATTTTCAGTTTTCATATCAAAATTTGGTTTCACATGATCAGGCTGCCTGGCTTTTTATTATTAATAATAAAAAATTTTTTTAATCAAAAAATTTTATTGGATATTTTTGATATTTCACCAGCTAAAAATTTTATATGTTAAAATTTTTATACTATGCATTTATATAATAAACTTTTTTCAAATTATCAATCAAAGAAGAAAAAAATAATCTAAATTGATTATTTTTTAAAAAGCATGATTAATTAAAACAATTAATCGATCAATAGATCAATGTTCCATTTCTAATTGCAATTCAAACAACTCTTTTCTAACTGCATCCCTAAGTGGCTTTACTTTTTTAAATGAAATTAAAATGCATTAAAAATCTATTTGTATTAATAAATCTATATAAGTTTTATGAAATTAAGATAACTTCCCTTTTCTAATTGTATTCCCAAGCAAATTTCTTTTCTGAGTACAATTCTGAGTAACCTTTCTCTTTTAGGTGAAATTAAAATGTGTAAATTCACATTCGCATATATAAGCTAATAAAAAAAAAGTAGTAACATGTTATAACGATTTTTTAAGTCCTTTAACAAGCCTTTTTTAAAATTTCAATAATAATGCCTTTTGCAAATATTCAGATATCCAAAGGGTCAAAACCTTTTCATAGATGGTATATTCATCCTATTCCATATGAAATGACAATCAAAGATTTTTTTGTTAAACTTGTAAATAAGGAAATATCTCCTGAATGTAATATTACTGTAACAAACTCTGAAACAATAGAAAATGTTGAGTTAAGTCAAATACCAATATTAGTTATAATCCAAGTCAGCCTTGATTATAATATTATAGAACTTATGAAAAGTGTAGGAATATATATACATTATCAGCTTAGAGTTGATGACAATATGATTTCTGATTTATTATCACAACAAAACAGTCTTACGATCTTAATACAAAATGCATGTCAAACCTGATTATATTTGTTAACTTTCTCACAATTAGATAAGACAAATCGTAAGTTAACATTACGCAGCAATCTCGTTAGTTGGATTCATTGTCATATAGAGGATGGTCTACTAAATCATATGCTAACACTCAAGGGAAGCAATTTATTATTAGTTAACTGAAGTAATCTGGTATATCAATATGTGAAATCACCAAAAATTTGAAGAAAATAGTTATCACATACCTGAACTTTTTCTTGAGTTTTTTGGTCATGCAAATCCAGAATTGTATAAGCAATCACGAAAACTCTTTGATGCAAATGATCTTAATTTGCATTGCCAAGTTCTCGCTTTATATGCTACATCTTTATAGATGTTAATGGCAAATTTTGGCTGGCTCCATAATGTATTTGATCGTCTTATTATTGCTATTTCAAATAATGTTGGATTTTTATAACGTCAACGTAAAGTTACTGCTATAAATCATACATCTGATACTCCTATACAAACTATCGATCAAGCTATAACAGTTAAAGTCCATAAGCAAATTGTTTAGGTTACAGCCATTGATAAAAACAAATACTGTTATCTTATACAATTGCTTACTGATTTACCACCTTGGAAGCCAGTTGATATTGAAGAATACTTACCAATTGATCCTGTGTAAGTAGATGGGAATAATATTAAAATTGTTAGTATATATAACTAATGAAATAATTTGAATTATAGTCAAAGAATGCGTTATATCCAGAATTTATCTTATATATTTTCCTTCAAAATTAGAGAATATCGATTTAATTCTGGTAATAATGCTTTTAATGTAATTTCAATATGAAAAATTGATAAACAAGCCGATGAAGTAACAACGCTACAAGAAAACAAGCGAATTATAAGTAAATTGCAAGCTGATGCACCTCACTTTTATACACAAACAATGCGAACCAATTATA